TGGGAAAGGGATAGGGGAGCATGCCTTGAGACTGATGTCTTCTATTTTCCTATTGATAGGCTGATCATAGATGGTGATACATTCACAACCTGGGCCCATCCAGGCCTTGGTCTTGCTGTACCCAGGCTACCAAGAAGGCTGCCAGTTATTGCCAACTGTGACACTTTTCATAATATGGATTTGTCACTGAGTCAAGTACAACAAACTCATTTCAAATAAGCCACTGAGCAGCTATCAGAAAGTAAAATTTTTTAGTCACTACTAATCTTGTTTAGCCTCAAACCAGTGAGCTACCAGTGAAAGAATCCAAATTCTGTTCCTGCTCCTTGAATCAGGCAGTCTTGGGGAATAACTCCACAAGTTTATTTGAAACTGGCACTTAAGACATCAAATGGTGTTGCTCTGTCATCAACATAGTTGTTGCTTTTCTATAAATAACAATACCCAGTGATTATAACTTACTCTTTGTATGAGTCACACGTGAAGAGCTCCCCGAGGTGCTTCACAGGTAGTCCTTCATATCATGAATCAGAGAGAGAAAACAATCTCTGAAACGCTGCCATGCCAAGAGTTTCTAGATACCTAGAGTATTGTCCCTTATTTATAGCTTCAAACTGTAGGGCAATTTGACAGAAGTGACGTGAACAGTCATATAAGTTTCTTTGCATTAGTTACTGTTCTTGTTGAATAAAAAAGAATTGAGAACCCTATTTCCACCATGCAACAAAAATGTTATTCAGTACTGAAATCTCAGAAACAACTTTATAAACAATTATATATATGATGCATACAGTCCTGTTTCCAATGCCTTGTGACTTTCTAATGCTTTAATCAATCGGAGTGAAATTATACATGTTTACTAGCTAAAAGGAGACCCGTTATCAAATTTAAGTAAAATCCAGGTTCAGTCTTTGAGTGTAAGAAAGGTAAGCATTTCTCATTATGAAATAGATGATAGCTGTCTAGCAATTTTTCATAGCTGTGTGTCTGTTGGCGAAGATTGATATGTGGCATAAAATTTGCCCTCAATGTAAAAAAAAAAAAAGCTTCTCATATCCCTATGAAAGTAAGTTTTAATTTAACTGACAGGCAACATCACCTTCAGGTTAACTAAGAATGGTGTCATGGTTTTGCTTACAGATTCATAGAGTCCAGCTTATAGGAAAAGCAAAATGGTCTAGGAGCACAAAGAAGGAAAAAAAGGTTGCTTCTGCTCAAAAACATCTGGGAAAGAGCAGCCTGCTCCACAGCCTTCTGTTAACTGAGCAGATTGTGGCCAAGGCCAACAGCAGTTTTCTGCAGAAGTGAGCCATGTTGCTCACCTCACTTTTTCAAGATATTCAGATGTGACTCAATTTCTCTACCATTGCCTCAGCTTTTTTGGCCTTTTTTTTTATTGTAACAAAGTATCCAAAAATAAACAAAACCCTACAAGCCTTTATGAAAGTCCTTTCTTTTGCTTATGGCTTTTTTTTTTTTTTTTTTCCAAAGTCCCCTTTCTCTCTGCTGCTGCAAAGGCTCAGTGGTTTATCATGCTGCTTGAGCCAGCCTTCACACTTTGGTGTGCAACAATCTTTATTACTTCTAACGGGCAGACATTTCTATTGTCTACTTAGCTGCACCATGGCAGCAGGGAGTACTGTACTCTTAACCCAGAAGGGTCTGACATTATGTAAAACTTGCTTCATGATATTTTCAGGCTGTGATTATTCCCTGCTCTAGTTGGGAACCACAGAATCATTGAAAAGCAGGGCTGGAAGGGACCTCAGGAAACCATCTATTCTAACTCTCTGCTCAGGGCAGGATCATCCCTACCAAAACCATCCTAGACAAATGTTTGTCTAACCTGTTCTTAGACACTTCTGGAACAATCCTCATAAGCAAATACTAGGCAATACCCAGTGCTTTTGAGGAAGGTGAAAGGAACCTCAATGCCAGCAGCAGAGTGAACCAGAACTCTATATCATCTGTCCCCTCAATAAGCCTATGCCAGCTCCTTCAATCTTCTTTCATAATCAAGTCAGTTGTGGAGCTCTGCTTTATTTTTTTTTCTGCTATTGAGAATGTTCCTTTGCAATTTCTACCTGCTCTGGGCTGTAAAGCTCTTCTCACGGTCTCTGAGTTATGCTCAGGGAGGCCTCTGAGGAGTATGTGTGCAGGATGTTGTGGGGACGTGTGGGAATCTCCTGGGCTTTCCAACTGTTCCTCTCACAGCATGCTCCTGAAGAATGGCTGGTCATGGAGTCTTGAGCTTACAGGAAGAGGATTGTACTCCAAACACAGCCTTAACAAAACAGCGGGAAGACAGTGGTGAACAGTCTGTAGCATCCTCATGGGGAGTATGTAGATTGCCTCAATACCTGTACCTTGCTTCGACTCCAGTCCTCGCTACCGCTACATGCTCCTGTCCTGATATCTATATCTGGCTTTTGATCTTTGGCTTGTTCCTGCCTATGACTCTCAGCTCCTTACTTCTGGAGTATTCCTGCCTCTTAGCTTTTAACTTTGGTCCCTGGTTAAGGCACTAGCCACCCACATCCCCTTACCTGACCAAAGCCCTTTGATACAATACCCGTCTCTCTTCTAGGCCTTCCACTGGAACCTTCCTCATTTATTTGGCATGTTTTTTCAAGGCTTTTGCCCTGATTTCTTATCTGTGGGAAACTGCAGATGGTTTTATACAGATCTCACTCACTTCCAGTCTTTCCCAATGGTCAGCTTTCCTGAGCCCAGAGCTGACCCTAGAGGGGTGCAGGGCCTGGGGCAAATCAGTCTGTGCGGGGCCCCTTTAACACTTCACAGGGCTGTGGGGCCCCCACAAAGGCAGGGCACAGCCCTATCGTAGCAATGAAATTTGGCATGGGGGGGCAAGCAGATCCCACGTGCCCTGGACAAGCCGCTCTTCAGCAGATATGAAACCACCGGCATGTAGCAGGGAGGAGAGGGGGGTGGTGAGCAGCCTGACGTTTCTTCTGCAGTGTGGGCTGAGTGGCCAGCTCCAGGTGGGCCGTGTGGGAGTGCCTGTGGCTGCTCCATGGGGCCCCCCAAAGTGCGGAGCCCGGGGCGGTCACTCTGATTTGCCCTACCCAAGGGACGGCTCTGCCTGAGCTACTCTACAAAGTAACAGCTGGAAGCTTCCTATAGACCTGATCCTTTTCAGTCAGTTTTGCCAGACTGAAATCACATGTACCAGCTAGGAATCATAAGCCCTAGACATTCCTGTAGATGGCAGGAAGCAAGTCATTGTGAAATTGTCTTAAAGGGCCAGGTCTTTTAGCGCAACTGCTCACTAGGTACCTACCTACATTGCAGCAAGATGAAGACATTTTCACGGGCTGCTTGCCGTGCACAGAACTGATTTTGCAATCTTTTTGTGGCAAGCCCCACTTTGCTGCTGATTGGCCATGGGGCCTGGAGGCCCTGCCCTTCCCTCTGATTGGCCAAGAGGTCAGTCACTCATCTTCAGACTACAGCATGGCATGTGGCTTCTTAACAGATGGTGCTGAACCCCTTTTGCTTTCCTGACTGGTACCTTTACTGAGTCTATGTCACTAGCTCAGCCTCTCAGCAGCTCTCTCTCAAACCATGTGCTCTATGGCTAGAGAGAGTCCTGTGCTTTCTTTTCATTCTGGTAAGCTTTTATTTTGGGGGGGGGGGGCAATTCCATGCAAAATTGTAGGAAATCCCAATTTTTGCAGTGATTGCAGAAACCAGTTTTCATGGTTTCCGTGAAAATTGCAAAACTGTGATTAAAGTAGGTCCCTACTGATCACAAAAAGCAATAGTGTTAGTACATCATTCCAGTAATAAATAAAATCATGCAAAATGTGCTTTAAAGTAACTCTATCATTTCTCTTTCAATTTTTTGGCATGCAGAGTCAAAACCAGACTTTTTTGAGTTTTTCCCCTCGATATAACTTGAAACATTCTCATTTTACTTTGTAGGCCCATTAATTTCACAAAGTTTTCAAAAACCGAGCATCATTTTTACTGCATATATTTCTGAAATACACTGTAACATTAATGTGGTAATAATAGTAGATTCAGGGTGTTACTCCTATTTCAGAATCAGTCAAGGAAATATCAGTATTTTCTAGCTTATCATATCTGTAAATGAAAAATTAAGATATCCTCTCAAACACAGAGGAACCATAAAATATAAGGAATAATCTGTTAGTTTTAATGAACAGCTTTGTGAGATGTAGAACAGGTTAACCACTGCATAAATTCTGGGTGCAGTAGTGATTTAACAATGATTATATTCTTGCCTTTCATTTTCTTTCATTGTAAGCACATGAGTGAGTAGGCCTGGCTCATTTCAAAACTTGACTTTTTGCTGGGGGTATTTGGATTGAAGGTTCGCAATGTAAATAATCTAGCAATGGCCATAACAAGGGAAGTAAAAAGATGAGGAAGGGAAGGAAGTGAATGAAAAGAAGTCAAGAAAAGAGAAAGGATAGTTTTCTGGACTGAATATTGCATTGAGCAGTGGCAATGTTCTAACAAGTAAATGGCAAATTTGCCAATCTAATGACATCATTCAGTCAGTTTTATTCTATGAGCAGTTTGCAGAAATTATCATACCTGGATCTCTCCTTGTGCTTCATTTAAGTCAAATGATGGTTTTGTCATTCATTTTAGTGCAAAGTTGCACCTCAAGAAATGTATGTCTGTATCTACTACATGAACGTATTTCTGTATATTCTTTTTTAAATTAAGAAACAGAAGTGTATTTTTTTAATTGGTGACCACACAGAAGATATTAAAGAAAAAATGTGAATTACTTTGTCATCAAATATACCATATTACTTTCATATTGTATTCCATGTACTATAAACTTTTCCCTTGGCTTTCAGAACATCATATTCTTTCAGTATCCACAATTTCTACATAGTATTTAATTACCATATAAGTTGCATTAGAAAACTATCATGATGATTAGTAGGACTATAAAATATAACAGATAAAAGCAATTGTCTATATACAGTAAGATGGCCAATTTATTTTATTAAATCTTTCAGTGGGAATGTCATTTATGAGTTAGCTTCTTCAACCTAGCTATCACAAGAGAAATGAACTATTTTGGATTGTGCTTAAACCCATCCTTCTCTCTACAGAAAAAATCATATCTCTGACAGATATTCACAGGCTGGCACCTTTAAATTGAATACATGGTTAAATAATATTTTATGCACCATTTTATTTATTTTTCAGGGTTACAATATTCATGAGATTATCATAGAGGGCACATAATATAATTGATATCATTAAACACGTTTTGCCACAAAAGGTTGAATAGCAACGGTAGAAAATTCTATGTTAAGATATGTGAAAATACCTGTAACCATAATTTCATAAAATCAATGTACAGTACACATTATGTAACATTATGCCAACAAGGTATTTCTTTATGCAAATACTTTTTGCCCTCTATAGATAACTGCAGTAACTACACTGCAACAGACTTTTTTTTTGGTGTGTGGATATATATGCAATATACAAGAGTAATAGTTTCTATTTTATCATAATTGTTAATAACACTGGTCCCAAAAATGGTGAATTACAGTATCTTAATTTTAGCAAATAACTGTCATTCTGTTTTTTTAACTAATGCTGAACTTAATTGGTATTTGCCTCCTAATGTTTACAGAACATTGAGAGCACATTTCATATATATTTAATCTTTACCATCAATATACTGCCTTTTAGTTCAGTATCTACTATATACAAAGGAACTCTGTTGAGTTCACACACTTAGGAACCAAATAATATCAATTTTACTTAAACCCATGCACAGTGTCGTGCACTACAGAATAATTAAATGTGATTTAATTTTTTTAAGGATGAATGAATCAATATAAAAATAGATTTGATAAAACATTAGCACTTTAATGGATAGATAAAGGTGGGAGCAAACTAATAAATCATGCATTTCAAAAAGGTTTTATTTTCTCATGGGATGTTTGAGAACAGAAAACATGCAGTGATGAGGTGCAGGTCATTCTGTATGAAGAACAATGTAAAGATCGCACAAAAAAGCATTTTACTGTAGATCCAGATCGTAAGTTTATATGCAACATTGAAAAAGGTTGCCATTCTCGGACTTGCCTTAGGCAATCCAACAGCGCCATGCAAACCATAGGCAAACACCTGAGCTGTGATTTCTAAGCTGCTGAGAAGTTTCTCAGAGAGCTGAGAAAATGAAGACCTGAACAACTGCTTTCCAAATCATTTTAAGAGGAAATGTTTTTATTCATGGAAGCAAATTATAAAAAGGGAACTGATAACAGCATGTCCTTGCTGTCAGGAGATTGATTCAGAGTATGAGAAAGTAGTGTATGGTGTAAATGTACAAATAACAGTCAAAGAAAATTAGATAAAGTTTTAATTGTGCAGTACTCACTGTATGTGTCCGTGTTTATTACTGTATGAAACAAATGAAAGGTGAACACTTTACTTGCAATTAATTGACTGTCTTTCCTATCCTAGAATTAGTCTGGACATTGCCAAGGTAATCAAAAGAACTGTAAATTTTCAGAAGTGAATCTGATCCAGTGTGCTTGATTAATTATGCATTAACCCATTTCTTTGAAGCATCCTTCACTAAATCTTTGGTGGGAAATGCACTTTATTAGGCATGAGGTTTGGTTGTTTGTGTGCATACACACTGCACTACTGGTCAATATGCAAAATGATTTAAAGTCTGGCATACTACAAAGATTTATTGCCGAGTAGAGCATTTTAATGTTTCAGCAAACAACGTTGCTGGCTAGTTTTTACAGGTAGTATTATCTTTTGTCTTAGCGTGGCCTTAGTTTCGTAACCCTTAATCAGGCAGACTTTCATTAATACTAGATCTTGCAAAAACTTACACGAGTAATTATATGCATGCGAATAGTAATGCAGGTCAGCTGACTAAGATGTTTTCTATGTGCAAAGTTACTCATGCCTATGTGTTTGCAGGATGAGAGATATCTTATCAAAGATATAAATACTTGAGTACTATTTTGTGGGGTTAAAATGCAAAAGAAAAGTATTCTTAAGAGTGGGAAGCAATGTTAAATGTAAAAGTATGAGTTAATGAGACCTGTGACCTTTCAGACTCTTTTGTGACAGGTCAAATCAATTACCGAATCCAAACATCTTCAGATTAAGAGAAGCAATTATCAAATCTATGGATTATGATAACTGCATTAGAGTAAACTAGAAATGGAATCATATCAAGAAAATCAAATTACTTATGGCATTCCCTTCTTGTATTCCATGGCAGAATTATCCCATAAATTAGTAAATGGTAATGCATGCAACAAAAATATGCCATATCACTTTATGTAAACATCTGCTTTCTTCATGCAAAATGCCTACAAAACCGTGACAATATTTTTTTCTAATAGCATCATTTTACATTAGCTCAGTCACAGAAACTGCTATACCAAATTCCATGATTCTGCAAGTAAAGAATATTCTAAAACTCTTGAAAGATTTCCAGCATGAATATTCAAACACCAATGCTGCTAATTTATTTTCTAACAACTCAGCTACAAAGGCTTATTCTTTGCTGTGGTTCCTTGTTCTTTTGATGATGGAGGAGAAAAGACCAGTTTTTGGAGGAGGTCCCATCAATATTGGGGCTTGATTCTTGTGGGTTATTTTTATCTAGGGGAGGAAAAAAAATACAGTTAGCATTTAGCTAGCACAATATCTCTTGTATTTTTGCAAAACACCAATGTAGCTGAATCATTTTGGATCTTAAAAATTAGGTCCTTCGCTTTCATATAACCAAAGATTGAAGAGAAAAAATTTACATATATTTTATTATACCTAATATTTGAAATACCATAAAGCAAATCCATTATATTCAAGGTTATCATGCATAATTATAATTATTTGTGTTATACTATTAAATACATAATAACTTCTTGGCAATATACTACCTATTTGGGAGGTGTGAGATTTATAACCAGCATTATCATTGCTTGGATTTTAATGTTTTACGTATCCATGGGATGAAAAAGAATTTAATAGCAGGAAAGGACACATTGTAAGATGGGGCAACAAGTTGGTGCTCATTATTAAGATATACGTGGTGTTGTGTTATAGTATATGTTATTTATTCTCCTAATCAATTGTTCTCTTTTAACACAAAACACAATGCTTAATATCAAAATAACCATTAGGAATTAAAGTAAAAAGTTAACATGTAAAAAAAATGAAGAACTAGTGTTCTAATTTGTTAATTAATTGGCAATAGAATAGATTCAAATATTGAAAAGCCTGTTTAAGCACTTTGAAAGACTGCTCTAAAGCCACCCATTTTGATTTCTTTGATATAAAACTACGAATCACCTTAAATGAGACAACCTTAAAGTAGATTATGTCTGCAATTTTCTCTAATTCAAGTCTAAATTAGAGAAGACATTTTATGAATGTATGCTATGCTCAAAGCTAATTGAAAGCAATTATCAAAGTGGCATTTTGTCTGTGACTTTAAGATACATTGTAAGATAATAAATGATTCTCATTATGTAATAAAAAGGTCACATCTTGCCTTTGGGCTAGTGACGCTAAGAGTTTTTCAAAAGCAATCTGAGACATTTTCTTTAGTGAACTACGACTAATACAAGAACCATCACTTATTAAATATCAGTTGTCACCTGCACAGTACCCACATCAGAGATGGGTATTTCTTTCAAAAAGAAACACCACCTCATTAAAAACTGCAAAAAATATATCTCTTAAAGTGCATACCTGACATTTTCAAGTTAAAATGAATATCCTTCACTTGTCATTCACTAATAGTAATGAAACAAAAAATGTATGCCACATGGAGAGGCTCATTAAAATATAGAACAGGCCGTTTCTTGGGATAGGAATTTACTTTACAATCTAAAGAGACCAAAACATAAAAATCTTAACGGGATGAATAGGTTTATTTAACTACATTGGAACCTTAGCTTACTCTTCACATGTACATTGCAATGCTATTATATAACTTTAGAATAACATCAGTATTCACTGGCATCAAATTTAGTTTATCTTTCTCTTTGCTACTAGGTTTTGATTAATTTCACCCAGAGAAGTATTCTTGCTCTAGAGACTTGGTGACGAAACATTTTTTCACAATAGATGCCACTTCAGGTTCCACTGTGGAGGACAGATTCTCAGCTGGGGTAAATTAGCATAGCTCTATTTATGTCAATTTCCTGTCAACAAATGATCCAGTTCTGAAAATCTCTCTCATGGCTTGATATAAGACATACATCACATGGATAAGACAGGTTTGGCTTTGGAAGTGGTGATAGTGGTCACATACAGTCAGCCTGATCACAGAGTTCAATAATGAGCTAATCAGCAGCTACTACTTGATGGAGCCATTTTTGGAAAACAGCTGGTGCAGGTATCTCCAAAAAAACCCCTTGCTTCTCACATATTTCCCTGACCATCACAGCTACAACAACACTCTAACCCTACTCATTTAATTGAGTAAAATATGTAGATAATATTAAAACTCAACCATGATGAAGCAGCAGAAAAGTTTTCTTTCCACTGATGTAATTTTATAATTCTACAAATCTTGTTCTACCCAGTCAGAGAGCAAAAGGCAAAGAAAGGATGGCTTTAAAAAGAAGTGGAGGGGTAATCTTGAGGACTCATTCTGGAATCCCCTAGAAGGGGAGGTCATATTGTGTCTCTCGGGACAACTATAATTACCTTCTGACTAAATATTTATTTGTAAATCTCTTTCATCTGAACCAGCTATTCTGGATACCAGCACCCCTCTCACACTTTTTTATACCATTGGATAAGAATAACTAAGCAGTTCAAATAAATATTCTCTGAAAAGGGCTCCAGAGCCTGAAAGCTCAACCTCTTTTGTGTCTGAGATCTAGAACCTCTTGACTTATCATGGAGTGTTTCTTAGCTTCTCTTCTCAGGCTTTTCTGAAGGGAGTGGTTTCAACCAGGAGTGAACAGTATGAGTGGAAAAAAACATATCGTCTCATTGCTTGGAGGATTTAATATGGACATGGGAGTCAATTTGAACATTTTCTGTAATTATTCTGAAAGATCAGTGTATATGAGGGTATACAGCCTTAAGTACATCTTTATAAACGTGGTATAGTGAGCAGATCTTCAGCTAAGATAAACCAGCTTAATTCTACTGACATCAAATATATACATAAACACAATTTAAGCTGAAGAGAGTAATGTATGACTTTGTATATGAAGGTTTATGAAATATCTGGGGGATTAGTTATTAAGTTCAATTTATCTGCTACTCTATGCAAAGACACATATGTCATCTCTTATTGAACTAAATTAAAAAAAGACTTAAAAAAGACCCAATATCCTTAAGGCCCAGTAAGCACATACAAACTCTCACAAAGACACAGGGAACAGCTACGTGAAAAGAATCAGTCATAAATATGCCCATTCCAATTTTTAAAAATGGCAATATTTTGCATTCTACCATAAAACCATTATTTTCACTAACTGTCGATATCTTTGTAAAGTCAATTTGTAGAAATTTTATGGAATACTTTGAGTTCTAGAGCTGGGAGAATTTAGTCCATTTTCTTGGACACAGGAAATGCAATCATGGATAATCCTTGCAAAAAAATGACAAAACATGCAAAGCTGATGAATAGATTGAGAGGCTGTCATAAAAAAATACACAAGAAAATGTTTCTGTTTGGGGTAACTTTTTATATTTAGGGGAAAAAAAATCATAAAAACCCAGAAAAGTTGCATCCAACAGGAAATTGCAAGCTCAGATAAGAACTGTGCAAGGCAAATTTTGTTTGTGTTGAAAGTTCAGTAAATAACATTATTGTAAGCCCCTTCCAGTCGTATGTTTGTGCCTCTGCTGAAATCAATGGCAAACTCCCATTCACTTCTTCAGGGCCCAGATTTCATCTTATGAGTTAGTAGTCTTAACAATGAAGTTTTGCAGACATCAAAACTTTTAGTTTTAGTTTAACATCTAATAAATGGCTCTAACAAAAAATTTAGCATTAGAAATTTTAAAATCACTTTTGCAGTCCTGGAAAGTGCATTTAATGATATATTTGCTGAAAGGAAAATCATAGCCAGTTTTGAAAGAGCATAATTCTTAAAATTAGAGATGGTAATTGCTCTCTATTTGAAGATAACTTTTGTAATGAATGAGAGGTCCAAGTCTGTGATATTCAAGATGTTTATAAATGCATAAAATGGACATTTATTTCTTTCAGGTCCAAGCTTCAAAATATGCCTAGAAGCCACATTAATAGTGCATCCAGTAAACAAAATGCACTAGGGAGTAATACGTTGAATGTATTAGCTGCATTTCTTAGACCTAACAGTTTCCCTTTTATGTTATTGGACTCTACAATATGCACTAGTTATGTATGTATGTATTACTGATTTCATGGTATGCGTAAATAAGAGATCATTACTTTTCCACTGAAAAGAGAATGTGGTGCTATAAATATGGGAACTAATCAGGATCACTGATAGTAAGAAACTAGAAACTGCAAATGAAGATGATAGTCTTCATTTTCTCTAATTTCTGTTAAAATGTTTGGATTAACAGTAAGGAAGTGAATTCTACCTTTTAGGGGCGATAAAGTAAACTCAAGTATGAACACACTGATGCAATGTTTTAAGGGCTCTATGATCACTTTACTCCAAGCTATCAGCAGAAACTAGCTGTGAGGTTGGCTGGGAAGTGTGTTCTAACATAAGGAACTGTTTCCCAGTGGAGAGGCTACTCCCTTCCATGGGAAGGCATGGTTGCAGCACTACTATTCCACACCATTCACCAAGAGAGGATGGGCCCAGAGGCAGCTCAGCAAGACCAGCCCTTAAGGCTGTTCTAACTTTGAGAAGGGAGACCACATTGTGCAGGGACACAATAGATTTGGAACCCTCTCTCCTGGCTTCTGCTGTGTTCACTTTGGCCAAACTCTTTGATTCAGACCAATGATTTTAAATAGTAGGTTATGCCACACTTCTTTTAAATAATTTCTTAACAATATTATTGTGCAAAATGCAATCAAACCTAATCAGTTTGGCATTAATTAAGCTCTAATAATATACTCTAGTATCTCTCCTAAGTAGTGTGATCCGTTTCCCCTTCACACAGGTAGATTGGAAAACATTATGGTGTCATCATAATTTTTAAACATACTGAGAAAATGACAGAGCTGCAAAATTAAAATAAATGATTAATGGCATTTTTTTCGTGTTTTGTACTAATAGGTATCACTGAGCCTTTAAATTAATAGAGCTGTCAAGCTCAGGGTTGTTACAGATCCAGCACAGAACTAAAATGGAAATTATGTATTCCACAGACACCTAAAGATGACACTTTGGAATATTTTAAATTTTAATTAGTAGGTGCAATTGTTTTCCCCCCTCCCCCCCTCAAACCACTGCAAATTAATTGGCAATTAGTCACAACTAATTCTTTTCTTAACAATCTGAACTGGAAAGATAGGTGCATTACATGTTAGCATACTTGTCTGAGGTGCAGAAAGCACACATGCAGTAAATTGCATTGTCAATTACAAAAACTACTGTTGTGAAATTAAGAAAAATTATGCATAGGTAAACAAAACTAATTAATGCGCAACGTACCAGTGAACACAAAAAAATAACGCCCAACTGCACAAT